TCTCTGAGGCTCCCAGCCCAGGCTGACTCAAGAGGCTCAGCAGTCCCTAGGAGGCTCTGCTGGCTTTCCAAAATACCATGAGTTTGAGTTCCCTCCCTGAAGCTAGCTGCCAAGCCATACACAGCACACTTGAAGGCCTGGCCTCTCCCCATGGTAGGTACTACCTAGCTTCTCCGGCAACAAAGGGCCTGAGGAGCCCTCACCACCATCCCCAATAGTCCTGGCACTGGAAGATTCTCAACCCCTTTGCTTATCCCCTACCAGGGGCATCTGGAGCAGATGGAAAGCCCCTGCTCCTCAAGCAGACTCACTAGTGCCTCTCCCAGCCCAGCCACCGAGCTATCCAGGGCCTCCCTCTTATGGGGGTCACAGTGTGTTGGTGGTGGAGTGTGGAAGGCCAGAGCCAAGGTCTCTGCGCCTGCCCAGCCTGGGGACACCTAAAGGAAGGTGTCCCAGCTGGGACGCCAGGAGAAGGGTCATCCAGGTTGGACCTCGGGACTCCCTGAGGACAAACCAGCTATGACCGGGGTTTCCAGAAGCCATCTAGGGAGGGTCCCTAAGCCCCAGAGCAGGAATGGGGAGGAGGGCCAGGCCTCACCTCCCACCTCCTATTTCCCTTGGAGAGGTCTGAACTGTGTTGGGAAGGAGAGGTGGGGTGGGACAGCTCCAAGGGAAAGATGAGCAAGGGACTCTGGGCACATAGCTGCCAGAGGACAAAGCTCCTAGTAGGAAACTAGATGACATACCCATTGCCACAGCAGACCCAGATGCCTACTGGCTCTTTTCTATCCTGAGCCTCAGTTTCCTCTTTTTTTTTTTTTTTTTTTTTTTCGTCTTTTTGAGACAGGGTCTCCCTGTAGCCCCAGCTGTCCTGGATTCACTATGGAGACCAGGCTGGCCTCGAACTCAGAGTGCTGGTATTAAAGGCATGCGCCACCACACCTGGCCTAGTTTCCTCATTTTTTAAAATATTTATTATTTTTATTTTATGTGTATAAGTGTATTGCCTGCATGTATGTGAGTACACCCATGCCTCGCAATGCTACAGAAGTCAGAAGGCGGCTTTGGATTCCCCTGGAACTGGTGTTAAGGACAGTTCGTAGCTACCATGTGGGTCCTGGGAATGTGCAAGAGCAGTCAGTGCTCTTAACAGCTGAGCCATCTCTCTAGCCCCAGCTTCCTCATTTATTGAATTGTGATAAATGGGTGGATCTTTGCCACAGGTTATGTAACAATTTCAGGTGAGGGTTGCAACCCCTGTAAAGTTTGCAGGCGAGTGGAAGACATCTGTACTAGTTGGATTTTTCCAAGGGATACTCAGGAGGCTTAGCCCCCAGCACCATTCCACTGCTGGACCCAGTTCACAACTGGACCCAATGGGACTTATGAAGGTTGTCATCTTTTATTAGCAGATGGGAGGAGGTGGCTCTGCTAAGACAGAGCAGGGAGGGTGGTCTGCCCTAGGTTTTCCTGCAAATACCCTGCTCTACCACCAGCACCAGCAGGTCCATTCCTGTTCCTGAGATCAAAGCAGTGGCCTAATCTGTCCAATCAGCAGTAGAAGGGCGTGTTGAAAATGCCCCGTCCTCTACCTGGCCACACCTGAATTAGAATTCACCAGGGTGGGGAGCAATGAAACCACCTCAGAAACTACTGGATCAGCAGTTGTGTTCCACAAGCCTTGCTGGGGTTGCAGTCCCCATTCCCAGAACTGGCATCAGGCTAGCACAGGGAAGGGTAAATGACTCTCCACCTGGCTCTGGTGTCCTATGGGAGGTGAATCACAATATGCATGCTGGGGGTCTAGCTCAACTCTGGAGCTCTTCCACAACTTTGGAAGAAGAGGTTTCTAGGCAGAGGGTGGAGAACCCCATTGTTCTGGCTAGCCTCAGAGGTCCTCATACAAGTTGAAAGGGTCTCTCATTGCTTAGCACACAGCCATGCCAACCATAGGATCCCCCCTATCCTTAAGAAGGAAGAGGGCCCCACCCTGCCCCATACCTTGCAAGGGTGGCCTCCACTGCATGCTGTGAAATATAAAATAACAGCCATACGTGAATAGAAAAGGGATTCAGGGGCAGCTTTGGAAAAGGCTTTGTCCCTTATTCTGCCCTGCTCAGGGCCTCTCCTCTGGAATCCAAATTTCCCACTTGGGTAAGGGGCCCTCCTGAACCTCCCATAGGATGCAAGAACCTGCAGTGATTCCTGCAGAGGCTCATGGCACTGGGGGCAGGTCAGGGGTACAGTCTTCCCCCACACCCACAGTCCCCTTGCATGTCTCCTAAAGAGCCCTACCCCAAATGCCTCCCAAAGAACAGAGCTGCAGGTCCCAGCCTCAACATCTGGTCCCCCAGCCACAGCTGTTGCCTCCCTTCCTCATCTTGGGATTGCCCCAAACCCTGCCTAGCACTGGCACCGCCCTCTCCCATAAGTGGGAAATTCAGATTCCAGGAGAGTCCAGCTGGGGAGATGGAAATGTGCATGGGAAAATGTTGTGGGGAAAAACACATTCTTCCTCCACACCGCAGCCAGCACAGACCCTGGAAGGATTTAGGTAGACAGAAGACCCTCCCACCATCCAGGGACAAGGTCAGGCAAGCCATGGACAGAAGCATGGGATGCAAAGATGAGGTTCAGCTTTCTTCCAAGCCTTGAGGAGGGGTCCTGGCAGATCTTTGTCTTCCTGATGGCCATCTCACCCTCTAACAGTCCACTGGTACTCCCAGGAAGGGAAGCAAGGCTAGAGAAGAGATGGCTGTGGCTACCCTTTTGTAGCTGGGCTTTGTAGAAACAAAAGCTTTGTGGGGATGCGGCTCACACAATTGTTTAAAATGAGGTTTTGAGATGTCTGTGGTATCCAGTTATTCATACTGGCTCCACCCACGGATAATTGAGAGTTGGCTTTTGTTGGGCTTATTCTCTCTCTGTCTCTCTCTCTCCCCCCAACCCCCAACCTGGCCAACCAGCCTGGTTTTCTTATGGGCTCTTACCTTGTCTGGACAGAGGAAGAGGCAGACCAAAGAACCCCTGAAAGCTGATGATTGTGCCAAGACTTGAACCCAAGACACAAAATTCCCAGGCCAGAAGCTTTTTCCATTCACCTTATATACAGATTGTGTCCTGGCTGCATCAAATCCCCAAAAGCCACTGACCCTAAAAGCAGTGGTGCCTGAAAGTGGGGTGACTCACTGTCTGGCTTTCCAAAACCTCCCCATCCATGAGGGGGGGACTGGCAGGTGTCCCTGTGTAGAGAGCCAGGATCAGGGAGAGGCGCCCCAGGGAGCCTGGGCTAGGGTCACTCTGGGGCCGAAGAACCCCAGCTGGAGGGATTTAACACCAAAGGTCAGAGGTCACAGACAGGGAAGGGCGGGCAGGCATAGAGGGTCAGGGGGTCAGCGCTAATGGTAGCTCCGGAAAGGAGGGGGAGGGGAAAAGGCTAAGAAAACAGGACTGCTTCCAAGGGGTCCCCACCCCACAAAAACCAATGCCTGGCACTACCTCCTGCTTGACTGGCTGCAACAGAGCCAAGTTGAGCTGGGAGTGGGTTGTGAAATGGGCTGGACTGCAGCTCAGCAAGGGGTGTCCTAGGAGGGCTCCCCCAGATGCAGCCCCTCCCCCAGTGCAGGGCTGGGCCAGCTGGGAGGCCCAGCCTGGGCCCAGAGGGGAGAAAAAGAAGCAGAGATGAGGGCTCTGAGGTCACTAGAGAGGGATGTGTGGGCTGGGTTGGGACAGCTGTGGTACTGTGCCACGAGTGCCGAATAGGGAGAGGTGAGCACACTGAAGGGGCCACGTTTCCAGTTCCTGAGTCTAGGGGCTTCAGAAGTCTTGTCTCCTTAGCCATTGGTTCAGCCCCCACCTTTCCTCCTGGGTGCCAGGACAGCAGGGCTGCTGCCACTATTAAGGGTGCCAGCCACAGAGGACCATGGCTCAAGCCCTAGTCCTGGACCAGACCAAGACCCTTGGGAGCTCAGGCCTTGGCCAAGCTGTTGGCTGGCCTGGCTGCCCCCTTGGTGTCAAGCATTCCCTCTAGAGCCAAGATCTTGGGCTGTGATGGCTGGGGGCCCAGGACTCCTCCCAGTATCCCTTCCAGCTTCCCAGGCCCCAGGGCAGGGCTGGGTAACTCCCTACAACCATTGCTTCCCGGCCACCCTCTGACTGGGCTGGGCGGGCCCTCCTGGACAGGCAGACAGGCGGCATGCTGCCCTGCTGTGGCCTGAGTACCCTGCTGGGCAGGGCAGTATGCCAAGGTCTCCAGGTGCCAGCCTGGATTCCAGCCCCATCCCAGGGGGCCTGTGGGGCGGCGCAGGCTTCTTCCTAGTGAGAGGGGATGCACCTGCCTCGCCCCCTCCTCCGGATTCACACTCGGGATACAAATACAGTCCCTTGTCCTCCCCATCCTGCCAGGTCCCTCACCTGCTTCCATCCACAGTATAGGAGTGGATCAAAGGCTAGAAAGGATTCCAGCTCCCGTTGTTGACTCCAGGGACGCCACCCTCCCTGCCTTTCTGGTGCTTCCTAAGGGCAGCAGGAGGGAGTCTTTCCCGGACAGGGAGGGCATCCTCCAAACCTCTTCCTAGAAACAACCTGGGCGCACCCATGGGGAAAAACGGCTGCCTGATGCCACAGACAACTTTGTGCCCAGACTCCGGGTGGCCCCCTCTCACCTAGCAGCGCACCCCCACCGCAGCCGCCCAACTTCCCCACTGAAGTTTGCAGCCCGCCCCGGGCCCTGGCCGCAGCTCGGCCGGGCCTCCGGACGGAGGGAGGGAAGAAGGGAGGAGAAAAGACGAGAGACCGAAGAACCGGGCCAGGGAGCCGGCGAGGGAGGGAGCGCGCGAGCCAGCGAACGCAGGGGCCTCGGCGAGGGCTCACAATGGCCCGGGGCGAGGCGCGGACGCGGAAGGGGGAGGCGACCCTCGGGCCCGCAGTCCCCCCGCGGCAGGCGAGTACCCTACCGGGTCTCAGTCCTCCCCACGACGCAACGCCTAGGGGCTTCCTACCTCGGCGGCAGGGCGATCGGGCTCCTGCAGCGGGCTCCGGCGGTCGGGGGGCAGCGGGGGGCGAGCAGGGGAAGGGCCGGGGCGGGCGGGGGCCGGGACGCGAGGCTCACGGGGCGCGGGCTCCCCTGGCACGGCCGCCCGGCGCCCGGCCGCTCCGCCACATCTGCAGCTCGGGGCAGGGAAGGTGGCCGCGGCGGCCCGGCCGTGCGGGGATGTCTTAGCTAGGGAGGGAGGAGGGAGGCCGTGGGAGGAGGGACCGGCGGCCGAGGAGGAGGGCGAGGAGGAGGGGCACGGGGGGCGGCCTCCCTCCCTAGCTCTCTCGCTCGCTCCCGCCCTCCCTCAAACCCCTCTAGCCACCGCGGCCCCAGGCCCGGGGCGCCAGCTGCCAGGCGGGGTGTGCGCGTCGCGAGGAGGGGGCGGCCGGCTGGGCCGGGGGAGGGGAGAAAGGGCAGACCGCCGCGGGAGCGGGCACCCGGAGGGAGGGAGCTAAGGAGGGAGCTCCGCCGCCTCTCAGACGCGCCCCCCCACGGCCCCGCCCCCGGCCCGAGGGCAGCGCTAGGACACGGCCCGGAGGTGGCCGGGGGGCGGGTAAGCACGAGATAGTCCGCCTTCGGGGAAGCCCGGGAGAGGGGCGGGCGCACTAGCCGGGTGAAAAAGCCCGGAGGGCCGGGAAGATGGAGGAGGTGGCAGCGACCGAGGGGGCGGGGACCCTCTCCTCCTCCTCCTGCGGGGTCACCTTGGCCAGGCCCCCCGCGGCCCTGGGCAGCGGGGAAGGCGGCCGGAGTGTCACTCCGGAGGCCCTGATTTCTCCGCCCAGTTCAGTTCCAGGACCGCGCAGGCCAAGGCCTCTTTCTGATTACGGGATTTGCAAGCCGGGTTCAAAGCCCAGCTCCGCGCTTCCCGCTCTGCCTTGCCTTCAGCCTCGGTTTCCTTCTCGGCGGAATAAGCAACGAGACCCGACCCCAACCAGCCCAGGATCCTACCTTCGTGGTGTCGGCTGCTGGGACAACCTGGGGGTCGCGGTCAGTAAGTCCCATGAGTTTGGTCACTGAGATGTGAGTGCAAGTCAGGACGGACGCTAAGCTCTTTTCTACCTTCTGTGAAGCTCAAACTTGGCTCTGTAGTGTTTTGTTTGAGCGAATCCTGAGCCGCCGCCCTGTATCGTCTTGCCTGTCTGCTGTCTAGTGGCAAATCTGGATTCAAAAAAACAGCCTTCCTGTTAGGGCTGAGCGCAGAAAACGAAGAGACGCTTCACATTCAGCATCCGCAGTAGGTGAAGCACCGACTTGGGTTCGTAATTCTGTTTTCATTCGACTTCTCTTGACACAACCTTTGCCAGAGCCACATCAAGACTTGGGTCTTGATCACAAGGCATCCCTATCACCAGGCATATGCTTCAGATTTGGTGCACGGGTAGGCATATAATTGTTGCTCAGGACATGATGAGCAAATAGTAGGTGCTCATAACTGATTATGTAGTCATGATGGATGCTTTCATTATATTTTGAAAGAGGACACAGATGCATATGTTGTGTAAAGGAGCACATAGTAGGTGCTTATGACCTGTCAATACATGTAGTATGACTTAGGAAGGCCCATTCACCTGGAGCAAAGGCCATACTACGATTTGGAGGTTGCCCCCCCCCCACCCCATTTCTCTAGTGTGAATAAAGTCGGAGTGCAGCCGGGTTAAACATTAGCCGGCAGATGGACTGGGGGAAGGCCAGCCCCTGGACCTAAAGCTTCCAGGAGGGGGCTGTTAAGGGCCGACTCTCCGGATACTTCTACCAGCCAAGCCTCACAGGAGACAGAGGCGAAGGGCTACAGAGCGCCCCCTCCCGACGTCGGGAACCACTGCGATTCAGGCTGGTAGAGCTGCCCTGCAGCTCACCCAATCACAGTGTCGGATCTCAGCCCCTGGGGTGCATCCCTAAAAAAGGTACACAAGTAGCTGGCTAGTATAAATCTATTAGCTTAGGAAAAGAAGCACCTATTTGAAAAGCTGGGAGTGTAGCTCAGCAGTGGAAGGCATGTTCCTGGCTTCAGTCTCTGACACCAGAAAAAATGCTTATCAAGTGCTTGCAGGATGCCTAACTATAGGGACAGATGGCCAACAATCGAACCTGAGGGAGAGTTGGCCCTAAGGAACTTGACCTATAAAGTTTGTTTTTCTTCATATTGCTCCCAGGGAGAACTCTGAGCCAGGATCATCACAGCCTCTGGAAACAGTGTTGGATGGTTAATAACAGTACCTCCTCTCTGAGGCTCTCAGAACATTGAGGAACACTCAATGCAGGTTAGTGACCACTGCTAGATGGCAAGCCTGGCCCAATTCCAAGACCTACCTGGTGTACCCTTAACCACCAGAAAATTTAAAAAAAAATAGAAATTTGGCTGTTTCCTGCAAAACCAACAAGAGTAAAGAAAAAAGCCAGTATTCCCAATGCTTGGGAAGATCACCACAAGTTGAAGGCCAACCTGAGCTACATAGTGAATTCTGGGGCAGCCTGGGCTGTAAAGCCTGTCATGAACAGTTTAAAAAAAAAGATTGAAAATAGATCGCTAAGCCAAGAGTAGTAGTAGCTCAGGCTAGTAATCCTAACAGTACTTGGGAGGCTGAGCCAGGAGAACCTGGGTTTGAAGACTAGCATGGACAACAAGATGCTGTCTCAAAAACCTATGTCCTCAACCAGAACCATACATTTTCACTATATTCCCAACAACCTTGAGTTGGTCCCATTTTACAGAGGTAGAAATTGAGGCATAAAGACATTAACATAGCCAAAGTTTTATAAGGAAGTAAGAGGCATAGTTCAGGTTTTAATCTCCATAGATCTAAAATATGATTACAAAGCCTGTACTTGAACCCACTGACTGCCTGTGTCATCAACTAACTGGCAAGGTAGGGGTCAGCCAAAGAACCAGGCAGTTTTCTTGAAGTACTTAGTAAAATGTGGGAAAGGAGAGACCTGCCCTTTCAGTTCCTGAATTGTTGCTGGTCCTCCTCTCTTCCCTTGGAGTGCTTTTCTGAACAAACATCTTTCCCTGCATGCTGAAGACTCTTGAAGGGAGGATGCTTTCTCCTATTGGACGGTGAGTCCCCTGAGGAGTAGGGCTCAAGGACCTCTCTGTCTCTTCCCTTGCAGTTGAGTAAGTGCTTCCTAAATTTCACTAATGGATATATTTGGAGGCTGAATTTGGCCTAATCTTTCACTAATAAATAGTACTTGTGGGGCTAGGGGTGTAATGCAGTGGTAAAGCACTTGTTAGCATCACCAAAAACAAAACTAAAGAACATTTATTGAACATATCTTCATTTTCCATTCATTCAACAGATGCTTATTAAGCTCTTACATGTTCATTCAGTATTTATTGAAGACCTGCTGTATGCACTGGGCTAGGCAACCCTGCCCATGCATTTAAGGAAATCTTGGTCTAGGGGAATCTCTCACCTGTCTATACCCCAAAAAGGCTGCTGTTCATGCTTATCACACACACACACACACACACACACACACACACACACACACACCTGCCCACTTCAAAGAGAGTGCCCTATGCAATATAGGAGATTAATGACTGGTTCTTCAATTAACATACAGGATTGGATCCATCAGGAAATCAGGGGCATAGGGATGATTCTATCCTTTCAGAACCTGAGGCAAAGTATAAAAGATACAAGATCACGTAGAGAAGTGAGCCTTGGACTGGGTATGGAACTCGGTGGTAGCACATTTGCCTCGCATTGACAAGACCCAGATTCAAACTCCAGAACCACCAAAAAGAACTTAAAGGTCAGATATGGAGGCAGGAGGATCAGAAAAGTTCAAGGTAATCCTTGCCTACATAGTAACTTTGAGGCCAGCCTGGGCTAAATGAAAAAATAAAGAGCTTTAGGGGCTGGAGGATTGGCTCAGTGATTAAGAGCACTTGTTGCTCTTGCAGAGGACCTAGGTTAGATTCCCAGCACCCAGGTGGCAACCGACACCCATCCAAAACTCCAGTTCCAGGTGATCTGATACCCTCTTCTGACCTCTGTGAGCATTGTACAACATGGGTGCACCTACCTACATGCAGGCAAAACATTCATATACATAAAATAAAAATAAATTTTTTTTGATCTTTTGAGACAGGGTCTCTCGGTAACCGCAGCTGGCCTGGAACTCACTATGTCGACCAGGCTGGCCTTGAACTCACAGAGATCCACCTGCCTCTGCCTCCAGAATGCTGGGATTAAAGGTGTGCTCTACCAATCCCGACAAAATAAAAACAATTTTTAAAAAAATGAGCTTTAGCTGGGCGTGGTCGTGCACACCTTTAATCCCAACACTCGGGTGGCAGAGGCAAGCAGACCTCTGTGAGTTCAAGGCCAGCCTGGTCTACATAGTGAGTTCCAGGACAGCTGGAGCTACAGGGAGACCCTGTCTCAAAAAGACCAAAAAAAAAAAAAAATGAGCTTTAATGTTTATGTTACAAAGCTAGGTATGCTGGCACAGACCTTTATTACCAACACTTGGGACAGAGACAGAGGCAGGCAGATCTCTTGAGGGACAGAGACAGAGGCAGGCAGATCTCTTGAGTTTAAGTCCTTGTGTTGCAGACAGGAGAGATGATAGGACTCAAGCTGAATAAATGGTGACAGATCTCAAACTCTGATGCTTATCTTTATGCAAGCACTGCTGTGAAGCAGCAGTCCAAAGGGTCCCTTATGATGAGGCTGTGTATGGCTCAGTGAAAAGCTCTTGGCAAAGGCTTCAGCCAGTGTCTGACTGGGACAGAGAAGAAATAAATAGTAGCTATTATTATGCTTGAAGCTGCAACCCACATTGAGCAAGGCCCAGGTAAAAGGAGGGATAGAAGGAATGAGAGCAGGATGACTTATTAACCTTCAGCTGTAGTCCTCATGAGCTGTGAGCAACAATTCAGCAATGCGCTGGTTGGTGCTGGCCTGGCCCACTGAGCCTGCAGGGCTGGGGCTGTCTATGGGTGGGGTGTTTATTCTGGGAAGTAGCCCTGGTTGTTCTTCAAGGGAAAAGGCAGGCTTAGAGAATCAAGGCCTGGCTATACCACCTGCCTACAGAGCCAAGGGAGAAAAGTCCAGGACACATAGCTGAGGGACCTAACTGGATCTTGGAAATTTGCAATACATTCACTTTCTGAGAGACAGATCTGTCCTAGAGTCTGAAATGCTCAAATTTCACAAGTTGGGAATGCAGTCCCAGATGCTGTATGGGAAGAATGATACTACAGGTAGAGTTGTCTATGCTGGCTACTCCACCCTTAGAAGAGTTCTTGGACTCCTTCGACAGTCTGGCTCCATGGACATGCAACTTGTGCAGTCATATTGGACTGGTACGCAGAAGTGACAGTGCTTGCTGGAATGCTTGACTGTCCCCAGGGCCTGCATTTTACTTTATGTCTATTCTGCCTTGGTGTCTTGGCATTCCTGGGACTTAGCTTCTCTCTCACCTCTGGGCATTGAGACTCACCCTTTGGCTACACCCAGCAAGACAGGAGGGCCTTAGGGAAAGCCTCAGTTGCTGCTGGGTGGTAGAAAAGCACCAGGCCAGCTGCGAGATAGGGTCAAGTCTCTACTGTTCTGAGTTTCTTGTATGATAACACTGGTTGGTTTGTTGCTGTTGTTTTTACTTTTTGATGCTGTTAGGAGGCTTAAAAGGTAGTTCACAGGAAGGGTACAGGGTCTGACAAGAACTACTTGCTAGGAAAGTTAAACTATTGTTTTGAAAGACGACTACGATCGAAGATGTAGTTCAATGGTTAGAATGCTTGCCTACCATGCAAAAGGTACTGGATTCAAAACCCATCCTCGGAAAAAAGAAAAAGGATTATTCAGAGGCAGCAACCTGGAGTTAGCAGAGGGTCGGTCCCGCGAGCCTACGGACCTTCCCCCAGGGGGGAGGAGCCATTCTTTCCCTGGCTTTGCCCCTCCTGCACTCCCAGGGAGGAGACTCCCCTACCCCGGGGCAGGAACAACCGCGACACATTTTTGAGTCGTGACCAAGTGGAAACTCCCTCCCCAAGGCGGAAGCCGGGGGCGCCCCACTGGGGCCGGAGCCTCCGCCGGGGCGGGATCCCAGGACCAGGGCGGGGCGCCGCGGTAGAGCCAGGCCCGCCCTCGCCATCTCATGAATATGAATGAGCCGCTAGAGAGCGGAAGATCGGGGCGGCCCGGTTACTGCTGGCTCCGCCCACGCGCGGGAGGGCGCCTCTGCGGCCGGAGGGCGTGGCTATTCTCGGGCGCCCCGCCCCGTACAAGGCCTCCTTCCGGCCAGGCGCGTCTGGGAGGTCACCCCGCGGGCGGGCTGTGCAGCCTCCAGTTGGGAGGCGCCTGCGGGTGCAGGTGTGACGGAGCTTTGTCCCCAGGTCTGGTCTCCTCCAGCCCGGAGTCAGGATTCCAGGCGTGGCCGCAGGCATTTCTTCACTCAATACACTTTGGCTCGGAAGATGCTGGAGTGAAAAGTACAACAGCCCTGCCCTGGATCTTCGGTTCTAGGCGGAAGGACCACCGTGGGACTAAGAAGCTGTAGACTGTCAGATGAGACAGTCTTAAAACCCAGAAGACGTCGGGCGTGGTGGTGCACGCCTTTAATCCCAGCCCTTAGGAGGTCTCTGTGAGTTCGAGGCCAGCCTGGTCTACATAGCTAGTTTCAGACTAGCTGGGGCTACAGGGAGATCCTATCTCAAAAAGACAAAAAATAAAAACAGACCTAGAAGATGGGGCCTGGGGACCGCAACACAGCTGGTCCAGTAGTTCCGGGCCAATATAAAACCCGGCTGGGCGATGCACGCCTGTAAACCCACAGTTCTGGAAGGTGGAAGCAGGAGCATCAGGATTCAAGGTCATTCCCAGCCACAAGCAAGTTTGAAACCTTTGTGGGCTACATAAGACCTTGTCTAAAAAAACCTCTTCGTAGAAATCCTTCGAAAGGATTCCAGATCCACGGGGTTTAGCCTGGTATCACTGGAGTGGAGAAAAATAATAAAAAGGTAGCTGGGTGTGGTGGTGCTACACCTTTAATCCCAACACTGGAGGCAGAGGCTGGCAGATCTCTTTAAGTGCAAGACCAGCCTGGTCTACATGGAGAGTTCCAGGCCAGCTGGGGCTACTGGGAGACCCTGTCTCAAAAAGATCAAAAAGGAAAAAACAATGGCATTAGTATGATTGTGGCTCACGGTTTTGAGCAGGTGACATGTTAATTGCTTTGTGCATATTTTGTTTTTCATCATCAAGACAGCTGGAAGTGGTCCCTCCTGTTATCTGGGAGAAAATCAGGCTCAGGAAGGTTAAGTCACTTGCCCAAGGTCACACAGCTTGGCAGTGAACAGACCAGCATTGGGATCTGAGACTGAAGACTGACTGAACTGTCTGAAATACATGTATGAGACCCAGGTGGGGTGACTGGCCAGGAGAGATCCTCAGTACTAGTCCTCCCTAAGTGCTAGGGTTGGTGGTGGGGTGACCTCCAAAGGTGAAGGATGGCCAGGCAGGGCCTTTGTTTCTGTGGACCAGCCAGTTGTAATGACCACCTTGCAGCCTGTCTCTGAAATCAGTGCACAGAACAAGGGTGTGCAGAGCCATCACCCATATCTATTCTGGGAGATGCTTTTGTTGTCTGGGAAGCACTTGACACCTCTCCAGTCTCTGGAGCCAGGTACTGGTGGCTTTGGGGAGGGAGGGTGGAAGGGAGGAAGCATGGATGAGATGGTGAGGGGAGAGGGTGTGGGTGGAGGAGCCTGTATGGCTGAATACTCTGGAGCAGTAACAAAGACAGTGTCAGCCAGGCAGGCTGTGTCTGACGCCAAACAGGCAGAATCACCGCCACCTCTCCCAGCCTGGAGTGATTAAATTACACATAAAGCCCATCGACTCTGTGCTGGCTATCCCCTAGGGGTGGGAAAGGCCTCCTTGCCATTCTGGGCTCCAAGACTGTTGTAATGGTTCCTATCAATGGAAAGTTGGGTAGAAAAGCACCTTCCTGCTGTAGTGAAGATAGGTCCGTGACCTGTCTAGATTCTTAACTAGTTCAACCCTTCCCAGCTTGGTGCAACTACCTTTCCTGGCCTGTTAGACTCTAGTTTGAAATGTGACTAGGTTAGGAACCTGGTCTCTGTTTGGGAAGCTGGGGTACTATATGAATCCCTTGTCTTGCATCTCTAAGAAATCTGAGGATTAGAGGGATGACTCTGATTGAGTGCTTGCTGCTCTTGTAGAGGACCTGGGTTTATTTCCCAATACCCATGTAGCAGCTAGCAACCATCTGTAACTGCAGTTCTAGGAGATTTGACACCCTCTTTGGGCACCAGGCAGGAATTTGGCACACATATATACATGCAGGCAAAACACTCATACACATAAAAATAAAATCTTAAGCCAGGTGTGGTGGTGCACAGTTTTGATCCCAGCACTCTCAGGAGGCAGAACCAGGCAGATTTCTGTGAGTTCCAGGCCAGCAGGTTCTACATAGTGAGACCCTGTCTCAAAAAAGAAAAAAGAAGAAGAAGAAAAAAAAGAAACCATAGGAAAGCTATGGAGATATCTCACTTGGGAAAGTGGTGGCAGTTGGAATCTCAGAATTGGGGAGGTGGGGAGAGGTGGATTCCTGGGCCAGCTGACCTAGCCTACTTGTTAAACTCCAGGTTAGTGACAGACTCCACCTCAAAAAACACCTTTAATCCCAGCATTTGTGAGACAGAGGCAGGCTGATCTCTGTGAACTTGAGGCCAGCCTGGGCTACACAGTGAGTTCCAGGCCAGTATCTACAGGGAGATACTGTCTCAAAAAACAAAACAAACAAGAAATCATGGGGCCATCAAGATGGCTCAGCAAGTAAGGATGTTTGTTGCTAAATTTGATGACCTAAATTCAATCCCTGGAACCCCCATGGCAGAAAACCAACTCCTATAGGTTGACCTCTGATTTCCGTACATGTGCTATGGCATGCAACCCCCCCCCACCGCAATAAATAAATTTACAAAAAAGAAAGTGGTGGAAGGCACCTAAGGAACAACACCTGAGGTTGACTTCTGTTCTCTACACAAGCATGTACACAAGTGCTTCTTCACCCCCTCACACCACATACCAAAAAGAAGACGATGACAAAGAAGATGACGAAGAAGAGGAGAAAGGAAGAGGAGGAGGAAGCAGCAGCTGTGGACATTGTCTCTCAAGAGTCTTCCCTTCTCTGTCAACATTGTGTGTCTCAACTGAAAGAGCAGGGTGGGACCCCGGGAACAGACTTTTTAACAAGCTCCCCAAGTGACTGTGATGCACATGGTCCTCTGACTAAACCTTGGAACCCACTGTCCTGGACCTCCCAGCCAGGCAGCCAAGAACCCCTTTTCTGGAACCTTGCTGCAGTCTCTGAGATGGAAGCCTGGTGTGTATAATTGTTTTCCATGACTGAATTTAAATGCATTCCAATCTCTACAAGCACTGTCATCAACAAGAGAATCTCCTCTGTTTAAAATAAACGTTTCAGCCATGGCCTTGTCTCCAATTCTCCTCTGCCAAGTTTCTCAAAACAGTAGGCCATCCTGGGTCATCCATACACAACTGAGCTGGGTGCTGGGTCTCTTCTTCCAGTGCTGTCTTTTTTTTTTTTTTTTTTTTTTTTTTTTTTTTTTTTTAGTCTTTTTGATACAGGGTCTCCTTGTAGCTCCAGCTGTCCTGGAACTCAGTATGTAGACCAAGCAGGCCTTGAATTCACAGAGATCTGCCAACCTCTGCCTCCCAAGTGCTGGGACTACAGGCGTGCACCACTATGCCGGGCCCAAGTGCTGTCTCTTACACTGACCCTCAAGAAGGGACCCTCACACCAGGACTGTGACCTCCTCTCCACCAAGACTGGCACTAAATGGCTTTGCTTTCAGGATGCTTCTTACCTCCTAAAGTCCCCCCTACCAGTCCCCATCTGTGACCCTATGAAAGCAGGTATTCCCAAGGGTATATCCTTAGACTTTCTAATAATCCCTGACAGTGATACCTGGTGTCTGAACACACTGTGTATACTGTTAGGGGCTCACTGGATACTCCTGGCTAGTCCACCTACTGCAGCTCTTCCAGGTAGATTCAAGGGGAGTCTGATTCTACCTGTTACCTTTGGTGGCCTATTGCTCTGGGTCCTGCAGTGTCTTCAATGATGCTGAATGCTGATGGAGGGAAGTGCCATAGTCAAAGAACCTGTCTAAAGAGCCAGTTTTACAGCTAGATACTTGTCACTAGTTATCACTTGATAAAATTAAGCATAATGTCTCATCTTCCTGCTTTAAGCCTTCTGGCCTGGTGGGATTTGTTCTAGTGCCCAAAAGCATAACCTTGGGGCTCTAACCCTGTCCACCTTCCCACCCCATCCCACCCAGGCATGCTCAGTTACAAAGTATCTCATGCAAGTCCCTCATTAGGGGGCTTAGGACTCCTGTTGCCACAGCTGCCCACCTCACTGAGAGTCCTCACAGACAGCTATGCCTGGTGCTGTACCCAGAGGATTCAGCTGGATGGGCAGGTCCCCTCTGGGGCCTGCTTAGCTTACTCCATCTAGGTTAAGGGCCACATAGCACTGGGTCAAAGGCTCTGTCCTAAATTGGATGTTTGGTTCAGACTCTGGGTTTACCTTGAGCCTCCTGAAATTTTGTTTTTGTTTACTTACTATTGTTTTTCTTTGAATTTTTTTTTTTCTTTTTTGGTCTTTTTGAAGCAGGTCTCCCTATAGCCCCAGCTGTCCTGGAACTCACTATGTAGACCAGGCTGGCCTTGAACTCACAGAGATCTGCCTGCCTCTGCCTCCGAAGTGCTGGGACTACAGGTGTGTGCCACCACGCCCAGCATTTTCTTTGAAAATTTTAAAAAATATTTATTATTTTTATTCTATATGTATATGTGTGTTGCTGTTGCCTGCATGCATGTAAGTGTACCTGTGTTGTGCAGTGCCCTCAGAGATCAGAAGAAGTGTCAGATCCCCTGGAACTGGAGTTATGGACAGTCATTAGCTGCCATGCAGATGCTGGGATTTGAGCCTGGGTCTTTTGCAAGAACAGCCAGTGTTCTTTTTTTTAAAAAATATTTTATTATTATTTTTTAATTTTTATTATTATTATTTTTGGTCTTTTTGAGACAGGGTCTCCCTGTAGCCCCAGCTGTCCTGGAACTCAACCTTATGTGGACCAGGCTGGCCTTAAACTCATAGAGATCCACCTGCCTCTGCCTCCTGAGTGCTGGGATTAAAGGCGTGCACCACCACGCCTAGCCCAAAATAACACATCCTTCTCACTTATCTCCTAACAATCACATTTGCTTTTCTTTCTTTTTAATTTATTTTTTATTATTTTTATTTTATGTGTATGAGTGTATTGCCTGCATGTATGTGAGTGCACCCATTTCATGCAGTGCCATGGAGGTCAGAAGAGGGCTTCGGATTCCCCTGGAACTGGAGGTAAGGATGGTTCGTAGCTGCCATTTGGGTGCTGGGAATCAAACCCGGGTCCTCTGCAAGAGCTGTGAGTGCTTTTTAACAACTGAGTTATCTCTCCAGCCCCACCTTTTTTTCTTTTTTAGACAAGGTCTCACTATATAGCTGAGGCTGACCTGGAGCTTACAGTATAGCCCAGGATGGCCTTAAATATGAAATTCTTCTGCCTCATCTTCCCAGGTGCAGAGATTATAGGTGTGCACTACCATACCTGGTTCCAAATGTCCTATTTTATAAAGCTTTTATGAGGACTGACAAGTATCCATCAGTGCATGAATTGTGATCTACTGCCCTTATTACCCATGGGAAGCAATGAAGCATTGATTCCTGCTACATGAAGGAACTTTGAAAATATAGTGATCTTTAAAAAAAAAAAAAGAGTACATTTTCTTTATATGTCTCATACCTGGAACTGGAGTTTTGGGTGGTTATTAGTCACCATGTGATTGCTGGGAACTGAACCCAGGTCGTCCTCTACAAGAACAGCAAGTGCCCTTAACCACTGAGCCATCTCTCCAGCTCCAGGTAACACTTTTGTCTCATGTAGCCCAGGCTGGCATTGAACTTATGTAACCAAGAATGAACTTGAACTCCTGATCCTCCTGCCTTTACTTCAGGAGTTTGGGGATTACAGGTGTTTGTCACCCCATATAGTTACCAAGTTTTATGTTGTACTGGAAATCAAACTCAGGGCTTTGTGCATGCACCACCATGGCCAGATGTATGCTTCTTTTTGTGTGTGTGAAATGTCTAGAATAGCAAATCCATGGAGACAGGAAATAGGTGTGGGTTGTAGGGACTGGGGATGGGGATGGGGACTGGGGACGAGTCACTGTTAAACAAGATTTGTCTGGTCTGTGGGTCTGTGTGTGTGTCTGTGTATGTATTCCTATGTGCATGCACATGTGTGGAGGCCAGACATTGATGTTGGGTATCTTCCTCTATCACTCCACTTTATTTTATTATTATTATTTTAATGTGTGTGTTTTGCTTATATGTATGTAAGTGTACTTTTGTTGTGCAGTGCCCATGACAGGAGTACAGATGCTTGTGAGCAACCTTGTGGGTGCTGGGAACCAAACCCTGGTTCTTTGCGAGAGCAGCCAGTGATCTTAACCACTGAACCATCACTTCAGCCTCCTATTTTTATTATTTTTAAATTTTTATTTATTTTTAGCTGGGCATGGTAGTTCATACCTTTAATCCCAGTACTTGGGAGGCAGAGGCAGGCTGATCTCTGTGAGTTTACCAGCCAGCCTGGTCTACATAGTGAGTTCCAGGACAACCAGGGCTACATAGTCTCAAAAAAAACCCAAAAATTTTATTTTTAATTTATGTGTATGAGTATTTGCCTGCATATGTGTAAGTGCATCACATTTTTGCAGTGCCTGAGAAGGCCAAAAGAGGGTGTCAGATACCCTGGAACTGGAGTTACAGAAGATTGTTAGCTACCATGTAGGTGCTGGGAACTGAACCAGTGTCCTTGGCAAGGGCAGCCATCCAGCCCCTATTGTTATTTTTTAAAGTTTTTGTTTGTTTGTTTGAGACAGGGTCTCACTATGTAGCCACCTGCTTCTGTCTCTCCAGCACTGAGATTAAAGGCATGTGCCACCAAGCCCAGCCCTTTTTAAGATTTTATTTTATATAAGAGGTATTTGGGGGGAGCTAAAGAGATGGCTAAGTGCTTAAGAGCACTGGCTACTCTCCCAGAGGACCCAGGTTGGATTCCTAGCACCCACATGGTGGCTAACAACCCTCTGTAACACCAGTTCTAGGGGAGCCAATGACCTCTTCTGACCTCCTCAGGCATTATACAACACAGGT